GGGCGCGCAGCCGCCCGCTCGGGTAGGCCGGCCCTTTGCATAATTCATGGCCTGAGAGTCCTGGAAATTAATAAAATGAATGATAACAAGAAGCTAATTAAAAACTTTCGTAATTGTTGTCAAGTCAGCTTGATGGGAGACAGACACCCCTCCCGGACTGCCGGGCGGGGACGGCCGATCCGCAGGGCGCGGGCCTGGCCTCCAGGACTTGCCGGTGGCTGCGGCGGGCCTGGCGGGGCCGCTCGCTGGCCCCGCAGCTCGCAGGTCTCCTCGGAGTAACTTCTGCACTTCGGGACGTGCAGGTGGGCGTGCGCCGTTTCAGTCCACAGGCAGAGCGGATAGGGCCGAATCTGCAGCCAGGAGAGCACCGCTGTCCCGCCCAGCACGCACCCAGCCTGGGCTCCCCGCGCCACCAAGTGCGCCGCCACCACCGCGGCGCGCCCTGTCCGCGCCCCTCCGCGCCCTGCAGCAGCCTCGCGGCCAGGGGCTTCTGGCTGCCGGGGTCTCCGCTTCGCTCGGACGGCGGGCAGACAGCCACTGCCCCGGCCCCGGCCAGGACCGGGCCAAGTCCTGGAGGACCCGAGTGAGTTAACGGGAGGCGCGGGCATCCCACGCGCGTGCGCAGGGCTGGCGGGGTGCAGACTGCGCGGAGCGGGGCGGATGGGGCGCGCACGGAGCGCGCGCGGAGCGCGCCGAGCCGCACATGCGCGTTGAGCGCGTCGAGTGCCCCTCGGAGAGAGGCTGGTTTCCAGTCTCAAAGTTAGGAGCTGCTGGAGGTCCCCTCCCACTAAGTGCTTTTGAGGACATTCTGAAAGAAAAAGTAATGGACTAAAATCTCACAGTGGTTAAGAATAGTCTTCCGCATGCCCAGGATGCCTAAGTCAACGGTCACCCTAAATGCCACAAAACTTTCAAAATTGCTTTACACGTTTTAGAAAGAACTGGGAGGAGTACGATCTTGATCTTGGCTTTTGCTTTGTTACCAAGGTGCAACATTGCCAAAGCTCTACTTTGGATTTATCAGGCAAGGATTTATGTCCCGGGGCGAAAGGCTGGCTCGTTGTTAGGTTTTCGTCTCGGGGAATTTAGGGTAATCTTCAGTGTCAAAGGGAAGAAAATCTTGGGTTTGCGAGAAGCCGGCAGAGCAAAGTGAGAAGAGCTTCAGTCTCCCGCAAACCCAGGAGTGGGGCGAAAACCAGCCGGCCCGCGCCTGCGTCCGCGGGAGGTCGCCTCTCTCCGGACTCGGAAGGGAAGAGGACAGGAACAGGTGAAGGGAAACGGGAGGGGCTCGAAGAGAGCTGGAAGGAGAGCTGGTAAAAGGAGGCACGGAGGGGGAAGAGACTCGTTACACTGATGAAGGAAAACGAACTACGAGCAAAAGTTTGTTTGATAACGAACGCCTGGCCTCACCGCAGCATAATATATACAAACTTGTGTGGACTTGGATCAGAATAAAACAAAATGTTGACAATTTCCAGCCATGGAAATGCACTTACACCGGTCTCTCTCTCCCCCTCCCCTCCCCGCCAAGTGTTGACAATAAACATTTAATGAAGGCAGAGACCTGGCTGTCTCCAGACAGTGTCAGAATACTTTAAGCAGACCATTAGCGTGACTTCTTCCACTTCAAACATCGCGCGGTACACATTAACAATATATTTTTAAAATACAACATGTGAGACAAATAATAGGTGCATAAGAATACCCGAAGTGGTCTGCAGTGGCTCTGATACCCCTTATACTCACCAACAGAAACTAACTCATTGTCGATTACTCGCGCTTAAAAATGTTAAATACAGTTAATGCAATATTAATCGCCCTTTGGTGATATAAAATGCAATATTTTCAGGCAGCTATTGAGCTTTTCTAGAGGAAGAGCTGATGAAAAGAGTCACAGCTGAATAGTGGGGAGAAAAAGCCCGGTATTTATTGCTTTTGTTTGGCTTTTGGCTACAGAGACAGGAATCTTCTAATGGGGTAAGGACATTTATTTTATCTGCAATCTATTACTGCGAGAACAGGGGCGGCAGATGGGGCTGGTGCGATACTCACAGTGTAATTTAGAGCAAATCCTAATAACTAATAATGATTTATGTTAATTTTGATCACTTGTGCGACTTTACTAAATCGCTGTGATGAAAGAAAGGAAGAGAAGCTGAACGTGGCAAGGAGCTTTGAGGCTGGCATTAGAGCTCAGATGTCCAGCGATTTGCGCAATCTTAAAATCTGTGTGATGAGTTAGAAATGGAAATGTAGGCATTTTAAAAAATAAAAGCAGGCAGAGTGCATTTGATACTGTGCGGAGTTGTTTCCCGGGGGCTTGCCTTTCTTCCGAAAATGTACCTAAATGAGACCCTGTCACGCCTTTGACCGGCAGACGCTCTCTGTTTTAAATAAAATGAATATATTTCAATTGTTTTATTTGTTTGTATAAAATAAGGCGGCACGCGCGTGCGTAGGTGTGTGTGTGTGTGTGTGTGTGTGTGTGTGTGTGTGTGTGTGTATGCGCGCGCGCGCCTGTTCGCCCGCGAGCGTTTGGGACGACGGGAAACAAGCGTTCGGAGGTATGAGTTAGGGCGAGGGTCTTCTTTCCAAAGCGCAACTTGAACTTGAGGCTTGAAGTTAGTTTTAGCGCCTGTGAGCAGAATGTCAGGCACCACTGCCACGCCTTATGCAAAACTTTTATCAGGGTCCTCACCTTCCACTTGGTATTTTGCCTGTTCTCTAGCTCTGTCTATCCTCTCCTCCAAGGCATTCCATGGCTTTAGATTTAAAAGTGTCTCTTCTCTCCCCACTCCCTTCGTAAAGTGGCACCGGTTCAAAACCCTAGGTGCTGCCAGCTGGACCTACTTCTGCACAGGAATAGGATGATTTTTCCGATTTTAGGTTGCCACTCGGAGCTCTGTGGAGGGTCGGAGCGGTTTTGAACGAGAGGGTGCGCCTTGCTCCTGGCAATTTACTTTTCCAGTTACCTTTTGCTCGTTTTAACGCCTCGGGGCTATAGTTTGAAAGTAAAACAGCATCAAAGCGCCTCCTTATTAGCTCTGTATTTGAAAAATCCGAAGATGAAACTACCTAAAAGGTTTAAAAGGGCGGAACAGCATTTATTTGGCAAGCAAACAGCCAGAGTACAGTTCAAAAGGGGTACAGTGGCTGATCAGCAGGAGGCTGGAGGAGGAAGAACGTGGGCAAAGTGAATTTCAAGGTTCAGTTGCCTGGTTAAAGTGAATTAAATAAGCTTCAAGTGCGATGTATGCTTTGATTTTTGGATATCATATCATCCCCCATATCTATCTATCTACATATAAACATACATTCTCGAGGCTTTCCCTATTTCTCACATTAGTTGTCAAGACTTTTTTGTTTGTTAATAAACTTTCAGATTTTGCAGAGTAAGCCTGGCTACATCTCCAGAGATTTGATCTGCACATGTATTTAAAACATGATCATATCTATTACAGCTACATTTCATTATTTTTTTCTTCTTTTAAGGATATGGATGTAAAACATATTTGATTTCTTCTACCAGGGAGAAAAAATCAAGCTGCATGATTCAGAACAGTGTCTTTGTTAAACATTATGCTATGTTTCATTTTTGCTTTTGAGTCACCTTTACCATAACTGTATTGTTAATGCACTGTTAGTATTCTCAGTCCAAAGAAGACTTTAAGCAAAATAAATCTTTAAACAAAATAAATCCGGGCAGCTGACATTGCCTGTTTACTG